TGCTAGATGCACTGTATATGAAGGCAACTTTTTTTCACTCTAATTGTTTACTACTCCTAAATTATAGCGTTCTTTGTTGACTAATTTACCACTTCAAGATGAAGATAGGCAGAAAAAAAGGAATTTTATATGATTCTGAGTAGATTGTGTACACACCACTTTTTAGTTATAAATAAAAGAGATAATTGTCAAAAACACATCTAAACAAATCCACACAATACTATTAGAAACAAAGGTTTTTCCACCGTCAATCAATAAAAAATTTGTATTATAAAACATGATATTCCAACTGAACGAACTTAGTGGGTAAACGAATGGTGGGAAACAGATTCTCACTGAAATAGTGGGAATCTTCCTAATTTTTTACGTGAAAACACTACTATTTTTTCTCATTAATTTAATCAAAATATTTGTGGGAATAGTCACTCAACATTTTTCAGCGGAAAATTTCAACGAGAAACTAGTGATTTTAATAGTGACAGTTTTCTCTAATGTTATATATACTTCCAAAAACCTTAATTATGAAACAGAACATGTCTGATATTCTTGTATTATAAGATCCACTGTTATGACTTCTAGCAGAGGAAAATTAGATGGTAAAAGGTGTTGTCTATATTACAGCAAGACTTCACATAATACGTTGTAGTTAAACGTTACTCGATATTTGTGTTGGTAGGAGATAACAAATATAACCCGCAAAATAGAGAAAAATAAATGTTTTTGCCAAGTGGGAGGGCCAGAAAAGGTTGTTGTATCTTTATAAGCCTCCCCTAGATGTAATCTTGGCTAGGTTTTTTTAAAATTTAGGTCCAAAAGTGCATTAGATCTTTAACCTCCCATTTCTGCATATATATTTTTGGCAAAATTAGTCCACAGGGGATCTGAAAAGTTGTAAGGGCTATACAAAAAAGTGGTCAACATTCAACAAATACACCACTAAATATTATGGTTTGGTAGTAAATACCTTATAGCGTGAATTCATATTAATCGAACTTTAAAACACTATAAGAAATAGGTTGAAAATTGAGGGTCAAAATTGATGGACGGTTTTGGTTACTTGCTGATCCAAAAGTGTAATATATATTGTAAAATCGCACTCAATTTGAATTCATGGACGGTGCGACAACCACTAAATGAACTATAGATTTAAACACATGGCATGCATGTATTAGATTGGTGTATACATCCGATGCGGGTAAGTTTTACCCTCGGTATAAATTTTAAATATCTAAACTTTTAACAATAATTTTATCAAATTTAATTTTAAAAATTAATAAAATTAACTTTCGAAAAACAAAACATAACAAGAGGAGGGGAGTACTAAAACTTGTGAAATACTCTCTTTAATTAATTATAGTGAAATATCTCTATAATCTGGAAAAGCTGTGCCGACAAATGAAAGTATTAAAGTTAAGATATATATTTTATGATAAGGTGATTATGTTGCTGTAATTACAAATTTCTACAACACACAAAAAATGGAGTTATCTCCTATGCTTAACTGGCATTGCACATGTACTCCTAATCAACCTTTCTGCTTTGAATTTATAATGACTCATTCATTTTTTTAAAAAGTACTTAAGTAATACTGGTTTAGGTATTTGATTGACTAGTAATTAATATGATACAAAAAAAGTTTTAAAAAATATTCCAATTTTATGGATGGAAAAATTGGTCCTCACATGGTTGGTTTATCTTCATAAGAAGAAGGGCATCTCAGGAGCGGATCTTCAAATGGATGCCCAACAGGTGGCTGATTCCTTTGACTGAATATTGTGAGGGAAAAAACAACTACTTTGGAGTATACTATTATTCGTATCATATGCTTACTCTTTTAAGGGATAATTATTATATTATCGAGTGATCTAGTTTACAAAATAGCCAGTAAATACACATATAGTATATACATAATTAGGTGTATAGATTTTATATATTTGGACTAGCTCCCATAAATATATTTGGTCAAAGGGACAAAATTGAAACTACTTACTCTAATTTTTATTTTTGTTTTAAAAATGTTTTTTCCATTACTATATAATGATGAAACTATAGCATTTTGGGTAAATACTGATTTGGACTATGGATATAAACCTCATGAAGACAAGTGGACTAAATTACTAGGAGGTTTGGTTCAATGGCAATATATGTCTCTTATGGTCTCCCATAGGGTGAACAAATTTTGTCTTAATACTCATAATTTAAGAAATCCCCATTTTGTAATATGTTTATTGCTCTTAAGCACGTTTAGCAAAGTCAGATCATGCCCCTCATATCAACCCCCCGTCCCCCCCACCCCCACCCCCAAAGCCTTAAGTTTAAACTTTTGCCTACTCTGTATCATTTTTTTTACATCGTCGAATAAAAATGACCTATAAAACGCTCTATTCTAATAGTCTAAAAGATACAATAAAATAACCAATTGGCAAAAATGAACTCGTAGTGTAAATAAATATAGACAACAACATATATAATTACGATCGAAAATTTTTATAACAGTTATTTCTTATAATAACATTATACTATAATAGCCATATTTTTCTACGAAACTAATTTTTCATGTTATACTATTTTATATATTTTTATAATAATATTTTATTACAATAATAAGAAAAATATCAATATAAACATTTGTTGTAAAGAGGTTTGACGATATATTATTCCTACTTATTGCCACTTATGCAGTCCGCCTAGTGATCACTTTACTTTAATGTTGAATTTTTTAGGGAGTTCTTTTTTTTTTCTGTTACAAAATGTCAAGAAAAATGAGTCTTGGGTCTATGTTAATAAATAAAGATAAGGATTGGAACGCCAAGTCATTTCCCTGAATTACGGCCAGAAAAATGGTCCTATTTTCAAAATTTAACCATGAATTTTCCTTCTAGATTCAATTTCTGATGTCCTTAGTAGTAGTATATATTAATGATTAACAACTTATGAAAATAATAAAAAGTGGATATATAGTTTCCAAGAAAGTCATAATCAATAAGATGGATAATATTAATTATTATTATAACAATAATAGTGGGAAAAGGCAACGGAGAAAGCAATTCATGGACCTCAAAAACGTACAACTTAAGCATCGCCAGCTTGAATATTTAAGTTATGTACGTGACTTCCTTTTTGTGAGACCAAAAAAATGGATTCAGAATTTATGGATCCAAACGTGTAAGATTTTGGTTCACATTTTTATCACATAATTAATATCAATTATGTGAGATATTCCATCTAAATATACAAAAATAAATTCTTTTCACCATATTTATGCGATATAACTTTCTAATGAAAAACCCTTCTAGCATCACTATAGTAATCTAAGCAATGCGTGGAAAATGGAAACGTATGACCTGCGTCTAGGTTGGCTTTAGGATTATGAGACTATTTTGAAATATTTTGATTAAAAGTTTTTAGTGCAACAAGATTTGAGAACTTCAAGTCGCAAGAACATGAAAAAAGTCACATACTCACTAAGTAAGCTAGCCATTAACTGTTTAATTTTTAAATATAGAGAATAAATTTATTTTTTTCCTTTCCGCGCAACAAACTTTACGTGTATATATATAGAGTTGTTAATTGTTATCCATATCAGACCAACTCTATAAAAGACAAAGGAATTTCAAGCGAAAGCCAATTAGACTTCAAATGTTTAAACTATTAGGTTATGGCCCAATTTGAAGCTGGTATGAAAAAAATTAGAGTAGTTAATTGTTTTTTTTTTTTTGGATTAATTACAGAAATCTCACATTTTAGTTTACTTATTACCATTATCCCCTATAAGTTTTATAAATCTCCAAAAATCCCTCGTTTTCACGCATCAGATTAGTGTATCTCGCGCATCAGATTAATGTATCAGCGCATCAGATTAGTGTATCTCGCGCATCAGATTAGTGTATCTCGCGCATCAGATTAGTGTATCATGTATAAAATGTACATTAGATTAGTGTATCGTGTATAAAATGTAATGTATCTTACTTAACGATTAATGTATCTCGCGCATCAGATTAATGTATTAGCGCTTATATTATTGTATCCGTCTCAGGGATTTCTGTAATTATAAACTTTTAAGGGATATATTGTAATTTTACCTTAAAAGTATGTGATTTATGTAATTTGCCTTTTTTTTAATGAAAAGATTAGAGTTGTCTAAAAAATAATTTGTAAATATTAGAGGCCAAATTCAACCATTCAAATGAGTCCAAAGATGCAACCCGAGTCAGCCCATTTGGAGCCAATTTAGGCGCCTAAAGAAACGAGCTTTGTGCCCAAGTTACAATGAAGTAGGCCCGACTATTTCAAATTCGCGATGTATATGGCTTCTTAGGGCTCGAATTCGAGACTTCTTGTTAAGAGATGAACAACCCATTCACTGCACCACAATTTTTGGTGGTTTGTATGGGATTTTGTTTCATGTTCACTTATAACTTATGTGTTATCATTTGATTAGGTAGCAATGTTTAAAAAACATTTTTTTTTTAAAAAAAGTTTCATAGTCTAAAATAAATCATATTATTTGTGTGATTATAAATTATTTTATTAATGATAAAAAATGAATTTTAAAGTTGTGTTTTCTTCTGGTTATAGAAAGATGACATTGTTTTTGAGATAGACAAACATAAGCGCTTAACGTATCGGACGGATGATATAATTTGAAAGGATACAATTTTTAGTTTTCCTAATTAGTTAGGACTTAGGATCATTATTTCTATTTGAATTTAAATTACATTTTCTCGACCTATACTATAGGCTTAAATTATTATGTGATTAAATATTTAAATAAATTTGAATAAAGAAATAAAAATTACAAAATTGTTCACATGTTACTAGTGCCATTAACATAATAATATTTTACTTAATTATTAGCTTTTAGCATAATGGATAAATTCTAGATTTCTAGTTTATTTTCAAAAAAAAAAATTAAATTAAATAAATTTTGTTTCAGGAAGGTCCGACCCACAGCCCGGGTCGCAAGCCCAACTATAACAAAAGGTCCAGAATTTACCAGCAATGTTCCCACGCTAGGGTTTAACAAAGGGTTTTTATCGTTTGAATCACTGTTGCAAAAATGTCTTCTCTAATGGCGATTCGCAGAACTCGAATCTCCATTTTTACTTCTTCGCACAAGGTATGTTTGTTATACTCTTCTTCACGCTCTATTTCCGATATCAAGTTCCTGAAAACCCTAACCTTAAACTCCCCGTTTTCTTCCTTACATTCGAAAACCCTAGCAACATTCGCAGCACCAAATGATATTCAAATTCCCCCAAACCCCTCTGGGGTTCCGCAAAATAAGGATTTTGGAAGCTCTACTCAACAGTGGAATAACCAAACCCAGAATTATCCGAATAATAATCAGATGAATATGTCATATCCTCAGTATCAAACTCCTGATCAGGTGAATCAAGGTTATCCAAATTATGGAAATGTTAATCCTGGTCAGGGATATACCCAGAGCTTTCAGAATCAGAAAAGCCCTAATGTTCAAAATCAAAGCATTCCGTATAGGCCGAGCTCCGGTGAGCCTCGAAACTACCCACCACCTGGGAACGTCAACCAATGGAATTATCAAAATCAAGGCTTCAGACAACATGGAACCCCGAATGCGGCTCCAAGTTATCCACAAAGTGGATATCAGAATCCGGAACATGCACAAAGTCCCAATAGAAATCAGAATTATCCACAGCCTGGTGCTGGTAATCAGTGGAATAATCAGAATCAAAATTATGCTCCACGAGGAAGCCCTAGTCAACTAGATTCTCAGGGACAGAGAGTCTCACCAGGAAGCGGGTTTCAAATGAATAATCAATCTCATAACCAAGCTCAGGTTGTGCATGATCAAGTCCCGAGTGATCCTCCACCTACTGTTGATTTAATTAGCTTGTGCCAAGAAGGTAAAGTTAAGGAGGTTATTGAACATATGGAACAGGGGATAGTTGCCGATGCACAATGTTTTGACATGCTCTTTGAGTTGTGTGCCAATTCGAAGAAACTTGAAGATGCTAAAAAGGTGCACGATTACTTGTTGAGATCAAAATGCAGGAATGATCTTGGTTTGAGCAATAAAGTTATCAATATGTATTCCAAGTGTGGGAGTATGACAGATGCGCGCAGAGTTTTTGATCATATGCGTGATAGGAATATGGACTCATGGCATTTGATGATAAATGGATATGCATTGAATGGGTTGGGGGATGATGGGTTGACATTGTATGATCAGATGCGGGAGTCGGGAATGAAACCAAACGAGGAAACTTTTCTGTATGTTTTCGAGGCTTGTGCCAGTTCAGATGCTATTGATGAGGCTTTCATGCATTTTGAGTCAATGAAGGCTGAGTATGGAATTTCTCCACAGGTGGAGCACTATTTAGGACTTCTGGGTGTTCTAGGAAAATGTGGACATCTTGCTGAGGCAGAGGAATATATCTCAAAGCTTCCATTTGAACCAACAGAAGCCGTCTGGGAAGCATTAATGAATTATGCTCGTATACATGGCGATATTGATCTTGAGGATCGAGCTGAGGAGTTGATGGTTGGTCTTGACCCTTCTAAGGCTGTTGCTAATAAGATTTCCACTCCACCAGTAAAGAAGCAGTTAGCCATTAATATGCTTGAAGGAAGAAATAGAGTAGCTGAATTTCGCAATCCATCCCTCTTCAAGGATGACGAGAAGTTGAGGGCTGCGATGAAAGAACAAGCTTATGTGCCTGATACCAGATATGTCCTTCATGATATCGATCAGGAGGCCAAGGAACAGGCTTTGCTATACCATAGCGAACGTTTAGCCATTGCATATGGTCTGATTAGTACTCCTGCCAGAACACCTTTACGTATCATAAAGAATCTCCGTGTATGTGGTGATTGTCACAATGCCATCAAGATCATGTCAAGGATTGTTGGGCGAGAGTTAATTGTCAGGGACAACAAGCGGTTTCATCATTTCAAGGATGGAAAATGCTCTTGTGGTGATTATTGGTGAAGTATAGTGGCTAATTTGAGTATACATAGACTGGCTTCCACAATTCTCAGGATCATCAAGAGTCTGCATGTTGGGATGAACGCGATGTTGAGATCCCTTTAAGCTGGCCGTGGCTCTGTTCAGGGTCATCTATGAATTACCAAGAATTTTTATGTATTGCTAATTACAATGCCAAAATCACCATGTCTTGCAATTTATGCATTGCTTGCACCCTTGTGGATATCTAAGACTGTTCTAGTAGTTTGGATCTTTGTTAAAGAGATTAGCCAGCAAAGTGCCAGTCAAATTAATGTTCCATTGTATCTGCGCAATGTTTTCAAATTGTTTTCTGGTTCTGTCACTTTATAGGAAAATGGAGTTTTTGACCAATATCATCCCTTACGTTTCTCCCTAACTTTGAGTATATCCTTATAATATTTCATTTAACTGAAATCATCCTTTAAGTTTCATGAAGAATTATTGAGGTTTTATCTGAAAGTTGATTTATTTGTAGAATTTGTTTTGGGTTAATAGCAACCTAGAAGGAGATGAAAAAAAAAACCACAAGTGTGACTGCATTCATGGTTTTCATGTTAGCTTTTATCGAGGGAAGCCAGTTAAATCTGTGTTGCAAGTGTCAGGTTCTTAAAGGATCAACTTTTCTTGAACTTTCTCTGTTTTTATGAATGGGAAAGATGGAGGCATAACATCATTCATCATCAGAAGATATGCTGGCTTTTGCAAGTCCTTTCTGCAGTGTCCATATGAGTTCTACTTGTCACACTTTACATAGAGAACTAGAGGTATTTCCACTTTTTGTCTTGACTTTACTGCTTTGGAAGCTTCAGTTCTTTGTTTTCAGTCTTGTTCTTCCATTGAAGAATTTGGGTATTAATTGAGGGAATGTTATATTTGCTGGAACCTTATAGGTGTAATAATTATTGAACTTTTATTTCTTGATATTCCAAAGTTTATTGCTTAAATTTTCATATATTTGGACAAATTTCTTGCTTAATTTCATGATCACTATTTTCTTTGAGTGGTCTGTTAATGATTTTACAGTTGGCATGAGTGTCCTTACCATTATAATGGCTTACTTGAGTTGGAATAGTTCTCCTTTGCACTATTTTAGGTAAGTTAAAACCATGTGGTTCGAAGAGTTTTGATGGGAATAATTAATGCTTTCATTGGCTTGTGTACTGTATTCTTGATTTAGTTGATTGTCTAGGATGTTTTCTAAATTCTGACATATCAGTATTCGTAACTAATTTGGAATTGAAGTATAGTTTATTGATGGATTGGTTGTAGTTAGAATTAAGAACCATCAACTGCTGCTAATTCAGATGTGTGTTTCTGTATGTATTTTAGTTTTATTTTCTCATCAATTAGTCGTGCAGGTGAAATTGTTGTTTATTGAGCAGGGAGTTGGAATGGCAGAAATCCAGGAGTTCCTAGATGTTTCCATATCCATTCTCAAGCCAACTTCAGTTAGTAGTTTTCTTTGCCTGTATATGTTAATTCAGTCAATCAAGTTAGAATTATGAGTATTCAATCTTTATTTGACTCTGTTCATTTGATGTCCAGCAAATATGAAAGGACATTGGAGAGACTGAAGCTCATAGCGACCGTATGCTGCTGGAGCCGAAGAGAGAGTGTTCGGAAGTATATTAAAGAAAAGTTAAAGAAACTATGAATACTAAAGCATATCTTCATCAATCTGTTGCAGCCAAATAATCCGAGGGCAACCTTAATGGCTGCTCTTTGTGAACTCAATACCAATGAATACTTTATGAAATGTTCACATTGGTATAGGATTTATATATAAACGGGAGATAATCCATCAGCTCGTGGCTATACCTTATTCGGCCTTAGCGATAGTGTGGTAGGACTTGTTGGGCTCATCTAGTTTTTCTAGAATGACAATATTACATTACTATTTAACTTTTGATCTTGTGAATGCTATTTAACTTTTAATAGTTGCAAAACCTGTTGGATTATACCTTAAATCATATTGAAAGTATTGACTTCGCATAAAATATCAAACTGTAATCGGAACTAATGCCACCAGCATGCAGCAAGGCATGCAGAAACCTTACATTTATACTTTATACAGGGAACATATAACTAAGTGAACTGTCATGACTTATAATCTTGGAATTCCCAGTAGGGGCCTTCAATAAGGAACTTCTAACAAAGTGTCATAGTGCGAGTCATCATAGTCACAAATTCATCCAAATCAATCACACCATCTCCATTTGCATCTACTGCCTTTACCATTTTCCTGCAATCTTGAAGGCTGCAACGTTGTCCGAGCCCCTTCTGCAGCTCGTACACTTCCTGCACACTGATCTTTCCATCACCATCCTTGTCAAAAGTGTGGAAGGCTCTCTGCAAATCTGCAGTTTTAACTCCTCCTTCCTTCTTCTGCACTTCCACAAACTCGTTGAAATCAATGAACCCATCACCATCTGCATCTGCAACATCGAAAATCTTTTGAACTTCCCTCGTAAGGAGGTTCTTCTTCCCCATGGCTTTGAGTATAGCCTTGTACTCTTCTGGTGAAATCTTGCCATCTTTGTTTGAATCAAATCTATCAAAAACTTTCTTTAGATCATCAACACTAGTTTGGTAAACAGGCAACGAACGTGAGTTCTGCCTCTCTCTGGTGAACATCCTAGTTGGCTTACGCAGGAAACTTCTCTTCGAGAGGTTGTATTGGAAATCAAGAAAGCTTGGGTTTGACATTTTCTGTACTTGCTGATTGGGTGAAGATATCTTAGACTTAAAACTGGAATGAACTTGCTGACTAACATTGTAGCAAAGGACCTTAAATAGTAGAAAGGCTATCAACAAAGGGACATATTCTGATGCTTTAAGTAAAGAAGATAAGGAAGAATACTTTTTATTCCTCAATTACTTGTAAAGCAACCAAGATTCTCAACTAAACGTATGAATACAATTCCAGAACCAAGAAGGAAAGAAATGAAGTGAAAAAGCTAAGTTACAAATCCGATCCTTGCCCAACTTGTTCAGTTGCTCCAGCCGTCTATCTCTTTCTCCGAAATTACTTTATTCTGCTACGGATGTATAGAATATGTCCATTATTTGACAAATCAATTTTGTTTACTATTGGACCCACAGTTTGCTCCTCAAAGAATAGAACAATTCCGCGAAGTTACGTGTCTCCTCAAAGCTTCCTAATGTATACTGGTTTGAACAAAATGGTACAAGTATTCTTTTGTCAAGGTGGTTTATCATCCAAGTCCACCATCACATCAATATCCGTACGTAGTGTTATTTTCTGCACATAACCTGAAATGTCAAAGTATTAGATCTGAGATTGAGATTCCGGACATTTATCTGTTACTCAAGCCACAAATTAAAAAGAAGTTGATCCCAGGAAGATATAATGCACATATCAGTTCTGAAATAATCAAATAATAAACATTCATAATCCTGATTTGCAAAACAGCAGCAGAGTAACTTTTAGGGGCTAATTTTTTATTGACGTACAGATCCTTGTGGGTGTACGAATTTTTGGTAGAGGTATAGATACCTTATCATTTATTTTGATCCTTATCATTTCTTGGACCACATAGATAGTGAAGGAATCAACAACTTAAATACCATTATTGTGGTTGACAACTTTATTTCCAAGGGGCAGATGGAGAAAGAATGCCTCGGGAATTTATTCTACTTTTAGAGACATAAACATGAATATCTGAAACTACAAGAAGAAAACGCGGAATCTGGAAAACATGGAGGAAACACACCTTTTCCTTTAGGGCAGACAATTTAAACCAGTACAGGAAACATGCTAATTGCACAAAATATTAGGAATTACCATTGTCTTAGCTAGAGTGTCAAGCAAAATGTTCTGTCTCAACTTCTCCGTACATCTTACAGATATAGAGATGCACAAGAAAAGGAAAAGTGTGTCATCTGATGCAATATAGGACATAAACTACAAGTCCCGTCTCCAAGGACTCTTGTTCTTTGAGATGCAAAATTTTGAAAAGATGCCAGAAGCATTCCATTTTCAATTTAAGCCCCCTCTTTATATCAGGCTACCAGCAGCAGAAGCCCAAAATATCAGCTAAGTGAAAACCAGATTGCCTCAGCGAGCAATGCTGAAAGCATAAGACATGTCAAGCAAAAAAATAAAAAACTCTAGGGATTGAATAATAGACAGCTTCACAATCTCAACAAGATGGTAGTTGCCTTACTGATTAGGAGTTTCCACAGGGAGTTATTTGCTTCATTGTTCTATTTTTTAAAATTATCTTTTGAAGTTTATGCAAGGCCTGTAAGGCGAAAATTATTTTATATTTTTCTTTCTTCATAAGTCCATTAAGAAAACAACTTCTGAAGATGAGAAACAGAAATGCTGCATCCAGGGACTAAATCCTCACTGAAATCCATAAACTAACCTATGTTTAAACTTTAAAGTCACCAGGCAATGAGAACTATGTATATAATCCTTCCAAATCCTAATTCGTTAATTTATTTTACCAAGGGATGGAACAGTTCCCTAATTCTTTGTACCAACAGCAGCTGACTTAAACACGAGATCCAACTTGGTCTTACTTCTAAATTCAATCTATAAGAGAAGAAACAAAGTTTATGAAGGAAAAATAAAAACACCAAAATACTAGAGTTTTCTCGTAGCTCCTCTTTTGAAGTATAAAATGTCTGAGATAGACTGCTAAAGACATATTTACCCAAAAATCATCAACACCTCTATAGTCAAAGTAATTGTCCAAAACAATCCTCCTCATTCCGTTCATCTTCAGGGAGCTAAATGATATATGAAATTTGACATTCCAAGTCTCTGTGCAGGCTGATAAAATTTGCTGCTTGAAAAGTTACAACATCATATAGTGATATAGATCTTTTGATCTGGCAGAAATATTATCTTTACCTTAAATATTATCCATACTTTCTAACCAACCTAATTTTACTACCTTTACCTTCCTTAATAATGCATATTCAGAATATTACTTATACATCCGAAGTAAAAATGAGGAAACGTACATCTACATGCACGGGCATCAATAGATGAAACAATCTCTAGGAATAGGTTCAATGTTTTGAAAGTCTTCTTGTACCAGCTATACGAGTGAAATTATAATTAATCAGGAAAAGAGCAAGAATCTCTTGACTTATGGATAGCTTTAAAAATCCTCCATACATTCCTTTTTCTCTGTTAACCTCCCCCCCCCGATTTCAACAGCTCCTACTTCTAGAACACCACTTACCATCTCTCTTACCCACCCCCTTCGACTTCCTTCAGCAGCTCCATCATGATCTTTTCCTAAGGGGTAGCTAATTAGGAATGCGGATAAGATCCATACAGATAGAAAGCTACCTTAACTTCAATAGGTCAGATGTATATTGACAGACCACTCAGCTGTAAACCTTACCAATTAAATCTATGCTAGCAGGGAAGTGCTTAATCCTAC